ATTAGCAACATACAGATTGTAAACTGTCCTGGAAAAAGTTACTTTAGTTATTGTTACAAAAATGTTTTCTATTTGAGAATCTTAATATATTATGTGCTTTAAATTCAGCACAACAGACGAATGCACAGGGCACACACATACACACCTAGAAGCTTAGCATTTGTTTGAATTGCATTGACAGTGTCACTGTAACTTTGCTGAACTTCGACTGTGAGTTTTTAAAACAAAATGACTCTGGATTTTCCACATCTTGCCCATCCATCCTCATAAGCCGGTGCGCTGTCTTCATTCCCCAGTGTAGTTTTACAATAGCTGCGAGCTATATGTCATAGGCATAGGGACAGATGAGTGATAGGTGAGGACTAGCGGCAAGGTAGACGGTCGTGTAGTACAGCTGAGGCTCCGGAGTGTGCTGTTGCCTGGTAGATCTGATCACCCGAGCTCTCTCATTTAGCTGTGTCCCTGAGCTGTATACTTGTCATGGGGACTGGCACTTTGTCTACAGAATTCCCCTTTATTTTGTAGTATAAATCACCAGTCTGTCATTATTACACCTTTTACATGATGTGTAGTGCACAGCTTGCTCACAAAGTGATACCCATACAGCTGCATCGGCTATATACACTACTGGCTTACTAAAGTGTTGTTGTTATTATTATTATTATTATTATTATTGCATGGCTATCCTAATGTATGATGTGATGTCATAACTACACTTCAGATTGCACTTTATATTACCTACTTACCTACTATTACCTACTCTGTCTTTACTCTTATTATAATATTACATTTTCTACTTTATAGTGTTCTATTGCTTCATAATGGCACCGTGCCATGTTATGTTTTATGCTATTGCATTACTGTTAAAATAGTGCAATGAATGTAGCACTTTATAGTGTTTTATGGCAATGTAATTACACATGTTATATGTTATACTGCTATGTTACGTTATTTTTGTTTAAAGGGTTACACTACATTATAACTATTCGTATTTCAATAAGAACTATAATTAGTGTATGCTATGTGTGTATATGATTTTACATGTCAGATAGGTAGTTCATGTTATAATAGAGAAATAATGTCATATTAAGGGCTAGATAGTAGAGAGATTTTATACCTAACAAATACTGATTGCCTTCTAATGGGTCACTGGACTTTGTCCCCTGATCTCTCCCATGATTGTGGAAGAGGCTCAGTCTGTGTTACAGTATTAGGTAGAACAAAAGAAGTTGTCTTGGCCCCATGAAGCTGATTTCTGTCCTGCACTGTATATAATGACTGTGCCCAGCACATGGTTTGTATGCTGAGCTAGGTAATTACAATACATTGACCTGTCATGTTTCCCCTCCCAGAATATTCAAGGGATGACAGGGACCCCTATGGTGGCTTCCAGTCCCGAAAGACACGATGGCGGTTTGCAGGCTAACCCAGTAGAGGTGCAGAGCTACCAGCCCCCATGGAAGGTCCTCAGTGACTTTGCATTGCAGAGTGACATTGATCAGCCGGCATTCCAACAACTGGTAAGTTGTCACTGCTGAGGCGACCAGGGAATGGGGGAGCTGGCTCAGGGGGTTGTCCCCCTCTCAGAAAATAATAAACTGGGGGAGTGGGGGAGGGGGGGATATATGTGTATGCAGCAAGTAGCTAATGATTGCACAAGGAGATACTTTACCATGTGCTATTGGTGTAATTATGTTATGTATGTATAGATATGTGTGTAACTGTATATGTGCCAGTGTGCACACAGTACTTATATGTGTGTTTGGATGTTGTTTGTATAATGGGTATATAAAATAGTAAAATGGGAAAATGGGTGTAATTTCTCTGTGTATGTGTGTGTGTGTGTGTGTATATGTGTATATGTATGTGTGTGTGTATATATATATATATAGATATATATATCTATATCTATATA